TTATTGCAGGGTCCACACTGATAGGGGTAATCAGGAGTAGTGATGCCATCCCCATAGCCTCCATTGGTGAGCATGGGCGTGTCTGCCAGATACGGCCGCATGGCATGCTGAGACTGGGCGTATCCATAAATTTGATTGCGAGCATTGGTGGCTCCCTGGCAGCCACTGCAGTAGCCACTTTCCACATGCTGCACCGCGTTGGCACCCGATCGGAAACGTCGTTCGCCGCAAATGGGACACGCCACGTCCCGCGGCCGATGGACCTGCATGTGCATGTCCAGCTCATTCTGCGTGCAAAAGACGCGGGAGCAAGTGTGACATTGATAGGAGATTGTGCCATGGACACAGTCGTTGCAACGAGAATACCCATCGCCCTTGCGCCATTGGTTGTAGCTGAAATCGTGCCGGCCCAGCCAGTCACCACAGTGCGAACAATGGCGTCCCATGGTCAGCTGATAGATTATTAAACTACCGTAGTGAACTTGGAGACTAAGATGAACCAAGACGATCGAGGAACAAGAGGGGAAAGGGTCAGCTCAACCAAGGGAAGGAACTAACCAAGCAAGAACATGTCCTTCGACGGATCCGAGTTGTCGACGGCGACGAGAAAAGCGCTCTTGCAATTTCCAATCTTGCACTTTTGGAAGGTTCTTTGGCCAAAAAGATACTTATCTTTAACCCTGGTGGGCAAAATCTATTCTTTAGCCAGCAGAAATGATTGATCATGTGTGAAAGGATAAACAAGATGATAGTGGCTTGGCTCTCAGCTCAACCAAAATGAAGCAACCAAGCACAAACCCCTGGAGCCTCAAGTGTGCCTCAAGCTTGCCTCAATCCTGTACCGGTATTGTGGGGAATGGCATCAATCTAAGATTTATTGTAGTATTCTTGGTTAGGTAGGATTTTGAAACCTTTTAAAACTATAGCCTAGATCTCTGAATCAATGTACTACCCATTCAAACAGGAGATGTTGAATTCTTGCCATCATTGCTTAGAAAAACCTTCCAGGGACCATTCACATCCCCAGAAACCACAGACCCAGCACGGGCATAGCATCCGGGGTGCAACAATCCTGATACATAAGTGTCGCCAAGGGTAAGTCCATTACCATCAAGGTAATGTCCACTCACATGGGAGTCATCCACTATTGTTCTTTCTTTGAAATGCAAGTAACCATACTCATAGATAGTATTTCCAAAGTACCAGAGGTCTCCTTCAACTTCTGCTCCCATGAATCGTGCATAGTAACCAAACATTGGGGTGCCATAGAGGAGCATCTCCAGCCAGTTTCCAACCCGAAAGTACCAGACATGGGTGAGGTAAACTCCATAAAGTTTTTCGTGGGCCTGGGCTGGGAGGTGCAACAAAATAAGCTCAACAACCCTGGTGGAAAGAATCCATATGAACAGTTGCAACAGAACTGCAAGAGCCAAACCGAATGCAATAACAACAGGGGAAGAACCTGTCGTAGCTGCCAGGCCAATCTCGTAGGAAGGTATGATAGAAGCAAAAACAACCACATTCATAAACTGAAGAGCCACTTCTTCTGTCAGCATAGGTCGCCTCTTTGACTTGCCCACTTGGTTCAGGTTGTAGATACTCTCAGTCACATCAGACCTTGGTGGGATTGTTGATTGTATTATCTTGACTCCTGCATGTAAATTGGAACCATAGCCAATGCTGCTGTTGATAATATCAATTTTGGAGTTTCCTTGTTTGCTGAAGTCAAGTGACATGGTGGCAACAAACGATCCCCTGATCTTTACAAAATCAACCTTTGAGGGTAGGAAGACAAAATATGGACCACTGAGAGTGGACGCCATGTCAATATCAAGGCCATGTAGGAAAAGAATCATGTTCCATATTCTTGACTGCCCAAAAAAGGGAATAAATGACCAACATGCTGTGCGGAAGTGGAAGTCACATGCCCAATTGGTTGCTCCTCGCCACAGAGACCCCTCGTATTCATCTGATGGATCCCTTTTGCCAATCAAGAGCCATTTGAGGCCGATACTTGTCATGAGGGCAAGAAAGGATGTCAGTGGAAACAACAAGATCCAATGAAGAATGCCAACATATCGCCAGGATGGTAAGATTACGTTGAGTGCAGTATGGACCAAGAAAGAGAGTGTGAAGAAGTGGTATGCTTCGAAGATTGTCCAAAGAATCTTGAACACATCCAACATGGGTTCTTCCAAACTCTTTGAGTTGGTGGGCTGAAATGAGCCCGCGTGGCATGCTGGGTTTCCTTTGGCAAGAACACCGTGTGGGACCATAGCACCCTCTTCCACCACAGAAAGTTTCTCCACCTTGCTGCCCTCTCCAATCTCGCCCCCAGGGCTGACCATGCCTGACACTTGACAGTTATTTCCAATCACAATGGGGCGGAAGGTCAACTTTGGACCTGCATCTGAAGACTGAGAAAATTTCCTGCACCTGATTGGGTGTCCAATCGTAGCATTACTGCCCACTTTGACAAGATCAAATTCTCGTATGTAGGACTGAATCTTGGCTGACCCTGCCAGATCTGCCCCAAGTAGCCAGTAGAAAATCCAGATGAACCTTGTTTCGACAAGAAACTGCCCAGCAATTGACTCCCAGATATGCAAGAGCCTGTCCACAAACCACCAGCGAACATAGTCCCATGATAAGAGATCAAACTGTTGATGCCTGTATTTCCCTACAACAGCAACCTTGCAGATTACTACCACTACTGACAGTGACAGTAGGAATAGGGGGAAAGTTATGGGCAAGAAAACCCATGAGATTGAACAGTGATTTTCCACACCATTGGTTGAGGAGCACTGTTCCATAACCCACAAGACAAGGAAATAGGATGGAACAAGTGACACCAGAACCAGGAGAAGAATCACACTTGAACCAAGAGTTTGGATCACCCCCATTTGGAGCTTGCTTATTCTGGATCTTGATGAGCCCCAAAGGAAATTAGGGTGGTTGTCTGTATTTTGCTTGGGAAAGCTCTTGCCCTCTGATGCTCTTAAGAAAACTGAAAGTTCACTTAGTGTTGGGTAGAGATGTTCAAAGTTGGTGGGGAGCACCACATGCAACTGTTCCTCGACCATGTTCCTCAGCTCAGCACTCTTGAGAGATGTGAGTCCATTCTCAGCCCATGTTTTTGATGTGTCCACTTCAGAACCCAAGACAGTTTTGATTACACTGGCATATCGCATGGAGAAGTCATCTGGGTCTGTAGCTGCAGCACCGGTTATAGAAGCCTTGATATCAGGGTTTGGGTTGATTGCCTGGGTTTTCAGGTAATCTCTTCCCCATTGGTCAAAGCGGGGGAGCCAATCTTCTTCATTGAGTGCCATTCCTTTGTTGCTCCTCAGTGGTGGGTGGGTGTATCCAAGTTTTTGAGCCCACGATAGGTTCATCATTCCAAAATCCTCAAGTGCATTTCTTGACAAAAATGATTCGGTGTAATACTTTGGAGACTCTGTTTTCCTTCCTATGGTTTGTACAACCAGGTACAAGCTTGTTGCCCTGGCATGCAAGAAACCAGCATTGTCATCTCCAATGATGCAGGGTAGCAGCAATTTGGACGCCTTCCAGATGGAAGAGTGCTTATCTCCGCTCCCTGTAAATAAAATAAAAAAATGATGCTTTAGGTTGAATTCACACATGATCCTTTCATAACATTCATGAACAAAACAACTTACAGAAAACAAAATGCATGTTCCAAGCAATGTAAAGATCATTCCAGGTACTGCTTGGGGGGGGTCCTTGCTGTCAGCCAGGGATAGGAAGCTAACAGCCTCCCAACTTCAGAATTGGCCTTGAGTCCATTGCTCTGTTCAAGCCAAACAGCCTCTAACAAATTCAAACACAGGAGTTTGTTCATCCTTTCATTTTGTGAATCAACAGTTGGACCTTCAGGAGATTCCGAACTCTTCTGAAACAGCCTCAAAAGTGCGCCTACCGATCTGTTCTTTATCCAACCGAAGAAAGGCAAGTTCCCATACAGTGGGTCTTGTTCCGGAAGGTCAAGCATCTCTTGTAGCTCCAAAGGAACTGGCTTTTTATTCTTGCTCATGGCTTCCCACTCAGCATCGTTTTGCAACTTTTGTTGCATGCACTCGGCGTCATCCATCATGAAGGTTGTCACCCATTGAAGGACAAAGATTTGGTGCACCAGCTGCAAAAGGTAGTCTGTCCTGTCATCAATCAGAAGCCAGTCTGGATTTTCACTGAGCGACTCGGCAAGCTGGCAGATGGTTGGGTGCTTGTCCACCAGATGCTTAGTGATTTGGGAGCACATGGTTTGCATTGCAGCTGTTGTCTTAATGGCTTTGGACCAAGCTTCGTCAATGCAAGAGACCCCAGAAAGATGAAGCTCAGAGAAATACTCATCCAACTTGCTCGGGTTGCACTCTATAGCATGAACAGCTTCGACAGCTTTGCTGGGCAGGGAATTTGTTTTGTTCAGGTCAATGTCAGGAAGCTCCTCGAAGTTCCAGTTTTCTGTACTCATAGATTTTCTCATGATATCATGTTTGGTTTCTTCATTCAGATAAAATTCACTGCTACCAATGCCACGAATTGAAAAACTTCTCTCAAGGAATGAGGGACTTTGACTCTTTTGAAAAGGAGTAAGAGCTTCCTGCCTCTTGAATTGAAGTAGTACGGAAGGTTCTTTCCAGCCACCAGCAATTGTTGTCTGCCTAATCTCACTTCGCTTCAGCTTGCCAGAGGTGGTTTTTGGTGTCACACCCAATTTTAAGACCACTACCTCCGAGGCAAACAGCCCCTGGACCTGGGATACATGGTTGGCAATTTGAACAGCCAAGTCTTCATTTTCTGACTTGTCAAACTCCTTTCGGCCTTCTACAGTGATACCAATGCTATCTTCTCCATCCTGAAAGGCAGTGGTCCTCCCTGGACGGATTATGTCACCAAAAGTTTCATCAATAGAGGGCTCTACATCAGTTGGGTAATAGTTCTTCCCATTGATAATGATGACATCCTTGACTCTGCCAGTGACATACAGCTTCCCATCCACAATCTTGCCCAAATCTCCAGTGTCAAGCCAGGTGCCATCATAGCCAGGCAATGCATTGGCAAAGGTAGCCGTGGTTAGCTCAGACTGGCCATAGTATCCGGCTGCCACCCGTGGTGACTGTGCCCAGATACTTCCAACTTGCCCATCCTCGACCTCATTTCCATCATCAACTATTCGAATCTTGAGACTTGGGGAATCTACTATGCCACAAGACACAAGCCCTTCTTCAGAGTCTGTTTTGGCTGCCCCCCCTGTGACAAAGACCACCATTTCAGCCATGCCATAGATATTGTAGACCTGCTCAGGCTTGATGGAGAGGGTCTTTGCCACGGCTTCCACAACATGGCATTGAGCTGGTTCACCACCAAACATCGCTGCCTTCATGCAACTCCAGTGAGGTTTTCTGTTGGCTTGCTCCAACCGTTTGAGCAGCAGGGCATATGCGAAGTTGGGTGCTGAAGTATGGGTCGCATTGTATTTCTCCACCATATCTGTCCACAGCAGTGGTTTGGCAATAAAGTCTAGTGGTGAAGCCACAACCAGTTGACTTCCAGTGTAGAGACAGGACATAAATCCTGTAAGTCCCATGTCTGTTAATGAGGAACAAGGAAGCCAAATTGATCAAATCAAAAATCAATAGTTGTCACAGTAGCGACGAGGGACCGGGCACCAGTCAAACTTACCATGGTATTGTGGGACCCAAAGAGCTGCCACAGAAGCAGTGTTTAAATCAGTCAAGGAAATGCCGGCCCTGCAGGTCTCCAATAGATGGTGGTGCCCGACCATAACCCCTTTGAGTTGTCCAGTGCTGCCAGAGGTGTACTGGATGAAGCAGATAGCTTCGGGTTCTCCCACAAATTGCTCAAAGTGTTTTGGTTTGTTTGTGTTGTGTTTCTTGATCGACAGTTTGTCTGTTCCAATCCACTTCACTCCAGTCTTGTAGAGAAGACTAGCAGCTGTCATGGCAGTGGCAAAGGCACAGGTGGATAGGGCATACTTGTCTCCAGCATCCTCAGCAAATCTTCGGAACTTTGGCATTTCGGTATTGAGCTGGTTCGGATTGGGTGGATAGATGGAGCAAGGGATGATGCCGAGCTTCATGGCTCCAAACATTCCTGCCAAGAACTCAAGCCCAAAGGGATAAGCCACCATGACTCTGTCGCCCTTGTGGCACCCAAGCTTGATGAGACGAGCAGCCACGGCATTGGATTGATCCTGAAGCTGCTCAAATGTCATCTTGTTCTCTTCCTTACAATGGCTGTCAACCCACATGAAAGCAATCTTGTTGGGTGATTGTGTAGCATGATGGTTGAGGGCATCAAGGATGGTGAGGAAGAACTTCATGCTTTGGTGCAGGGACTGTTTTGTGGATTGTGATGTCTCGATAGTCTTTGTTTATGAGGAGTTTGGAATGGCGGGAGGATCGAGAGCTCTCTTGGACTGCGTGCGTCTCGGCCGAGAAAGGTGACTGTGTCGACTCAGGAATTCCAACAAGCGCTAGGAAACGACACTCTGGAGGGATGAGTCAAATCAGAGGATAATCGCCTCTGTACGAGTTATCGTCTTCTCCTGTTACCTTTCAATGACTCAATGACGATCAGATCTGTTCTGCGTGGCGACGGGCTGGCGGTAGCAGTGCACGAGCTGACTTCAGAGCTCGGATTCCCTTGTTATCCGAGGGGATCGATCCACCGAAAAGGAGTCAGCAATGGAAATTCTTCGGTATTCAGGAGTGTCTCAACACAAAGTGAGAAAGTGCTGGTACTGGATTTCTCTTCGCGATGGTTGCTGAAAAAATCGGGCGACGGGCCACCAGATTTGATAATATGAGACGTTTGACGGATTGTGAAAGCGTTCAGTATTATACTTGTACTGTGTGGTTTACGTGGGCTACCGGTAGCGGGGGAATGGACTCGACTCGACTCGACTCGACTCGGGTGCAGCATCAGCTACCACCAGGGTTACTCGGCATTTTGACTGTTTGGGAAAGTGTTTTGGCCATTAAGTGTAAATGTCTATACACAGTTAGTAGACATAAGTAGACAAAGTAGACATTGTGCGACATTAGGAGACATTAGTAGACAAAGTGATACATTGGTAGACATTGGTAGACAAAGTGAGACATTGTGAGACATTGTGAGACATTGGTAGACAAAGTGAGACATTTTTGTACTCTTTTACTGTACTCTGTAGACAAAGTGAGACATTGGTAGACATTAGTAGACATTTTGAGACATTGTGAGACATTGTGATACATTGGTAGACATTGTGAGACATTGTGAGACATCCGTAGACATTGTGAGACATAAGCCACTTTTACAAAGGAGCATAGAACATTTAAGCAACTCTGTAATCAGATACAATAGCCTTAAATAGACAAAATGCCGAGTAACCCAGGTAGGGGAGCTCGAGTCGAGTGTGCTAACGTAAGGAAATACTACTTGAATAGAGGGATCTTGTAGAGGTAGCTACCGCCCGACGAGATCAACTGCAACTATTCAAGACGAGTGCAAGGTAAATGCAAAGTTCGCTTCTTAGTAATTCATAATCTGTGTTGTGACTTTGATTGATGCGATCAGTAACCTAGTTGTAGCGTGTTGGATCAATACATCGTGGTAGTGATACGGAAGTCAACGTGTATTTGCGGGTAAACGGTTCGTTGGCAGGGTGCTTTACTCCTGTCAATACTCCAATTTACCGGTCCTTTTTGTTTCGTTGAGAACGTGTTCTGCCAGCGTTCTCTGTTCCATCGTGTTGACTCATAAACATGACCCAATCTACTCACGGATACTCTGGGTCGTGGAGGAACTGTAACGCTTTCACTCCCTCAGTGGCGACTGTCGACTCTGAGTGTTTCTTACCGCAATCCTTGGTATCTCCTGCCAAAACAGCAGTCATTCAGCATAGGCCATACCGATTATAGTCCCAGTGTTTGCTGAGGATATCTGCAGGGTTAGTAGATCCAGGGATATGATGAAATCTCAGATACTTGCAGCAACGGCTCCCTAGTACGGTGGTAGGAAAGCGCATTGTGTCTTTTGAGAACTTTGAGTGTGGCATCGAGGCGGTGTTGACTACCGTCTCGTTGTTTCCGAACATCATGGTCGGTGTGAGACCAGTACTTCAGGTACCTGAACGTGCTCCGTAGTTCGATGATCTGTTCAGTGGCGGTACGGGCTGCAACATACTCAGATCCGAACGTTGGCGGTCTCGACTGTTGACTGTAGTTTGCTGAACCAGTCGATGGGAGTCTGTTGCGCTAGGTAATCTCTCT